ATACTGAAGTGGGTAGCCTACCCCTTCTCGAATCAAACCAGGGTCTCCAGCATTGCAGGCAGATTCCTTACCAACTGAGTTATCAGGGAAGCCCATGTGACTTTAAGGTAAAAACAAAACAGACAAAGCCAGGTCCGCACCCAGTCAGGCTTGCCTCTGGGCTCTGGGCAGACCAGTGGGTTGGGCCTGGTGCAGCCACAAGCTAGGTCGAGGGGGCGCTGGTGCCACCAGTGTGCAGGGCAGCAGGCCGGTGATGACCCAGGACAGGAAGACTCCACGCAGTGCTGCAGCGTTGTGTTACTGGCGGCTGAGGGATGTGGATGCCACAGCTCACGTCCTTCACCCTGTCCCACTTCTCTGCTTTTGAGGTCAGGGTGTGGGTCCTGGGCCCCTGGTCTGCCAGGTGGGGTCTGATGTGCCTACCCCTTGCTGCAGGGACGGGCGTGTCCTGGGCGTGCTGGAGGTGTCCCGCTCCATCGGGGACGGGCAGTACAAGCGCTGTGGGGTCACTTCGGTGCCGGACATCAGACGCTGCCAGCTGACCCCCAACGACAGGTAGGCTCTCCTGGGGCACCGGGCGGCCTCCTCCTCTTGTTTCTCTTCCGACTTCTTCCAGCTCGCATACTGAACCTGGGGTGGCAGGCGGGTGGGCGGCCATGTCCTAGGCACTGTGCTGGGCCCTCCAGGTGCAGGGATCAATAACATCCCAATCTGCTCTCGTGGGTTCAGTCTGAGCACACGTGAACGTGTGCACAGTCCCGTGTGTCTTAGGGCTGCGGGCTGCTCCAGGAGCCTTCGGCCATGGCGGGAGGGAGACACCCGTGTTGGGGACAGCAGAGCTTTCCCGCAGGGGACACACACCAGGGTGGTGAAGTGGGGCGGGGTGAAGGTGTGGCCGGCTGACGCCACAGTGGGGGTTGGGAAATGGTGGCAGGCACTTGGACAGGTTGCAGAGGCTTGTGTTCTCTGCTGAGCAGTCTGGGGTTTACCTCATAATGGGAGAATCATGGGAGGTTTTTAAGCGGAGCCAAACTAGAAAGAGATCTCTTGTCCAGCCTCTGTTTCTGAGCTGCTTGAGAATAAAGCCCTGTGCCTGTGGGAGAAGGTCAGTGCAGGAGGAGGACGGGGCCCAGGGGCCTGTCAGGCACTGGCGCGCCGGCCTGCGTCGGGGGTGTGGGTGCTGAGGTGGCAGTGAGGGGCCAGGAGGCCAGTGCTGCCGGGGGCGCCTTTCCGCGCCTGCCTCAGCCCCTCGGGGCACGTTTCCACCTGCTCCTCCAGTTGCCCAGGTGGCGCCTCGGGAGAGTCGTCTTGCCCCTTGAGACCAGGCCCTGTGTGGTCCCTGCTGTGGGAACCCCTCGCTTTGCAGCAGGGCAGAGCCCTCTCCGGGGTCTTTCACCTCGGCGGAAGGGGCTGGCACTGCTCGGGCTGGGGCCCTGCCGGGTCCCAGGCACAAGCCATGTGCCTGTAAATGCTTGCTGAGTGAGTGCCCAGTCAGAGGTGAAAAACCAGGACCTGGGTGTTCAAATGAGGCAAGAGGCGAGCAGGAGAACCGGAACTGTCCCGTCCCTCCGTCCCTGTTGGAGAGACTCCCCTCGGCAGCCTGGGGGGACTTTGAAAGGGATGGAGGCCTGTGCTCCAGCAGTGAAAGCGGAGGGCTGTCCCCCCTTCACATGGGCAGTGAGCGCTTGACATTCCTCAAGTCCAAGCGTCCGTCCAGTTTGGGAGATGGCCTGAGGCCTGTGTGGACCGACACTCGCCATGTATTCACCATCCCACCTGATGGATCTCACTCGGTGATGTTCCTGGAGTCTGAGAAACCGGGATTGGGTTGATCCCTAACTTCTGGTGAACAGTGTAGTCTCAGCTTTGATGTATACCGTCTCACCCAAAGTACTGTTTAAGTGGCTTTAACCTTGATCTCATAGAAGTTAAATTGGTTTAAAAATGTGTAGCTTTTGAGGAGTTGGCCAAATATATTTTACCTCTATTGCCAGGCCATTTTGTAAAGTTTGTGCTAAAACCCATCTATGTTTTTCTCCATGTTGTAGGTTTATTTTGCTGGCCTGTGACGGCCTCTTCAAGGTCTTTACCCCAGAAGAAGCCGTGAATTTCATCTTGTCCTGCCTGGAGGTGAGCACTCTTAAAAGGGGGTGGGTGCCTGTCATTCCGGCTGCCCTTGGGCTTCAGAGGAGAAATCCCGGGCCCCCTTCCTCCCGTGTCCCCGGGGAGAGTGGAGCTCCATCCAGGGCACTCACTGCTCAGTTTCTCCCGCGCCCCCCCACACCCCACAGGAACCAGGGAGCAGTCGTCCCTCCGGGGGGGGGGGGGGGCGGTGCGTCTCGGGAGTGGTGGGATGCGGGTCCCTGTTCACCAGCGCCCCTTCCCCACTTGGCAGGATGAGAAGATCCAGCAGCGGGAAGGGAAGCCCACCGTGGACGCCCGCTACGAAGCCGCCTGCAACAGGCTGGCCAACAAGGCGGTGCAGCGGGGCTCGGCGGACAACGTCACGGTGATGGTGGTGCGGATCGGGCTCTGAGCGGGCGCGGCCCTGACTCCGAGGTTCGCTTTTGTGTTGTGCACATTATGTGTTTCGTGTACTCCTGTGGGATGCCCATGACTGTAAATAAAGGTGTTTTTTCTAGACTTCTGAGTTATCTTATTATGTTTTGAGCAACACTTGACCTTTCAGAGGTTGTATTTCCTTTTGAACGTGTTTTGGGTCTTCCCTTGTTAAAGGCGTTACAGGCCTCTCGGATTGGCCAGTAGTCACGGCCGTGACTGCTCACCGTGCAGCGCTCTGTAGTTTAGGGCACCTTTCCCGTGCTGCCGCCCCCCGATAACTGGTGGGGAAGGTGGCATTTCACAAGGTGGTGTTTGAGGCGGTGACTGGCTTAGGCAGGCGAGTGCCGGAACCCAGGGCTGCTGGAGGAGCTGACTGCTTTCAGCTCTGCAGACGAAAATAAGGTGACAAAGCGTTAGCACAGCGTGAGCCCAGGCTCAGCCAGGAGGTCAGGCTGACGGCTGAGGAGCACTGCCCGCACCAGGCCCTCCAAAACACCCAAGTTCTGCTCATTTCCCATCCCGTGATGACAGGCGCCATCTGGCTGCGCCGGTGTGGAACTCGTGTGTCTCCAGGTCTGGGCGGTCCCGCTGCAGCCCCGTGTGGCCTGAGGTCTGGCCTCCTGGCTCGGGGGCACGCACGGGGCTCTGGGCTGGGCTGAAGTTGGGCTTCACAGCAACACTTCTGTCCAAGATGCCAAAAACACGTGAGGAGCCTACCCAGAAAAGCAAACTCGAAAATTCTTGTCACGCCCTTCTTCACAGAGAGAGCAGGACACTGGTATAGCTGGTGAGGCTCTTCAGTGAACCGGGCTGCAGGTCTTTATGTGTGAATGCTTGCCTCGGGATGATGTAAGATTCCGAAGGCTGGCATTTGAAGCTGTTCTGTCACGTTTGCGGGCCGCGCCCAGCCTGCACACAGGCCTTATCACCTTGTCAGCTCCTTTAGAAGGACCGGCCTCCCTGCTGCAAGTGCCTCAGGGACGTTTCCAGCACATCCCTTCCCAGCGTGGAGAGCCGGGCTTCCTCTCTGCGGAGGGGTGGGACGAAGCAGTGTGCCATCACAGGAGGAAGGAGCCTCGGCGTCTCAGAACGGGGAAACCGCGCGCGTTACTCAGTCAAACCTTTTCTTACAGCCTACAAGGCACCAGTCTGTGAGCCCGTGTCCCTAATTGCCAGAGTGCCGCTGTCCTGGAGCTGGGAGAGGCTTGGCGTGGGGCTTCTCTGGCCAAACCCATGCTCCCCCCTCCAACCCCACAGGGAACCTCCCCTCCCCCTCCCCTCCTGGAGATCGCCCCTGGTCGGCCCTTTGCTTTCATAACTTTGTATATCCACATAAAAGAATTCTCAAACAGGCAGTTTTTATACATAAATATATTTCACCTGACATTACACAATAAATACTTCAATTAATTGCTGTATAACACACTTATATCGAGAAAAAGGACCGTGGGTCTCCCCAGGGTGAAAGCTTTTCTAAAGTATCTGTACCCACTGGGTAAAGAGAAATCCAGAAGAGGGTGTGGCCATACCACCCCTTATCTAGAAGCGGGGGTGGGCAGGCAGGACGCCAGCCGGCTGGCCCTTCCTGGTAGGGTGGGGGCGCCTCCTACTGAGAACTGTGCCCAGCCCGCCGAAGGGCAGCGCGCCCGCCGAAGGGCACAGACTGGTCGGTTTGTGTGTGCAGTGCCTGGGGTTCCCGTTAAGAGGCAGACTGTGGGCTGGAAGCCGAGGGCTCCTGGGCACCTGCTCTCCCCCGGGCCAGCTAGGAGGTCAAGGAGCAGGGTGACTGCAGGCATCGCCCCTGCCTCTCCCAGGCCTGGAGGCACCCTTGGCCCCCAGGAGCTCCTGCAGTACCAGCATTCCTGTGGCCTGTTCTCCGTGCAGGAACGGGGGTGGGGGTAACTTCTTCAGCAGGCCAGGGGGCCCCTACGTCAAGAAATGGCAGGAACTCTCAGACACTCTTGTCTCTTCACGGGAACAGCCGCCATCCCCCAGCCCCGAATCCCATCACCGCTGCTTCAGGGCAGAGCACTTGTTCCCCAGCCTGCCCACAATGTTCACAACGCCCATCTGAACTTGGGGCCACGGTACCACCCGACTGGGAAAGACTCTGAAGAGCCCAGAGCTGGATGGACCCAGCGGGGCTGGACAGTGTTGACTGGGCACCCAGAGCTGCCAGCCTGCGGGGGCTGTGGCTTCACCCATCCAGATGAGGGCGCAAGGCCTGGCCCTCCCCAGTCTGCAAGAATGTTCCAGCTCTCTCCTCTGGTGGGTGGGCCCCGAGCAGCGCACCAGGGCCTCAAGGGGACAGGCAAGACGACCTCGTCCGGGGGAAGGTTTGCAAAGGAGGGGATGTTGGGGAAGCCAGGCGAGCTCATGAGTAGACTCGCTCGCACACGTGAGAATAGCTCCGGACTCACTGTCCCCATCAGCCCCTATCAGTCCCTGGTGCCCAAGGCTGCTGTGCCCAGGGGCCGCAAGGACAGGCTCGGGCTCTGTGGCCCCCGCAGGCCAAGCAGTGCCCTGAGGTCCACAGCAGCCAAAGGCACGGCTGGGAAGGGGCAGGTGGATGCCAGGCAGGCTGGGCGGCCTCTCCCCTTCTTGTTGGCACGCCCAGCGGGCAGCCCACGAGAGCCCCAGGAAAGGTGTGGCCGGACCTCAGCCATGGAACTCAGGCCACCTGGGCAAGCTGCCCGGGGCGGCCAGGAGGGGCCCAGGTCTGCAGCCGGGGAGGGACAAAAACGCACGCGCCTGGGCATGCTGAAATCCCTCCTTGGGAAAGACGGCGTCCTGGGATCATCCGGAGTTCTAGGACCGCCAGCGTGCGTGTCGCCTCCGTGGGCTGCCTGTAGTGGCATCTCTGGCTTCAGCTGCGGTGGCCAGGGTGGGCAGTCCAGCGGGCTCCCTCCTGCCTGCAGTGTCTGCCACTCCAGCAGTGCCCCTGGGGTTGCTCACACTCTGGTGTGGCGCTCACACACCAAGGAGGACAGCGCTGAAGTGGGAGCCGCCGCGCACCGTGAGGGTGGAGCCGCTGGCGTTGTCCAGGAAGACGGAGGCGTACTGCCCGGCCTGTGGGGAGGCACCGCGGTCAGCCTGGGTGCTGTGGCCCCGCCAGCCCAGACGCCTCGCCCTCAAACCCAGCACCACCGACCCCGTTCTCGCGCTTTCTCCCCAGCTCCATCAGCCTCCTGCGCTGGCTGGGGGCTCCCTGTAGTTTATGCATGTGAGGGCAAACCTCCCTCAGGGCCAGAGTCAAGCTTTCTTTGCAAAACTCCGGCGGGAGGGCGCCCCTCCCACCACAGGCCTGGCCGCTGACCCCTCTGGTAGAGCCATTGTGAGACCAGTAGTCAGGCCTGGCTACTCCAGATGTGGTCCAGGCACCACAGGGTCACGTCCCCAGATGTGAAGCGGGAGCTCCCAGAAATGCAGAAACCAGGCATTCCTTCCCAGGACCACAGACCCACCACGCCACCTGAGGTCATCATGCAGGGACCAGACCTCTCAGCAGACACAGCCACAGCCTGGCCTCCAATCCTGGCGTTGCTGGGCGAGTCTGGGCGAGCTACTTAAGCCTTCTGTGCCATAGTTCCCTTACCCACCTCAAATCACTATGGGTTGATGAGAAATTTATGTGAAGCGCTCAGAACAGGCCTGGCCTACTTAAGGCTATTTGCATGTAAGCTGTTTTTCAACACATCTGCAACTAGACTTGTGTTTCCAGGAAAACCTTTTCATCCATTTCTTGACCACCTGTTCCAAATCCCCACAGCCTTTCTAGACTGTCACTCGGGGTTTTGTGTGGGAATAACCGCGTCTGCTTCCCACAGTCTCAGAGGGCCAGGGGGTCGTGCTGTCCTCCCTGGGAAAGCTGACCTCTGTTGCTGTCCTCCCCTGCCCAACCGAGTTCTCTTGGAAGGGCCTGTTGAGGCCAGCATGGAATGCTTGGGAGGTCAGAAAACAGATGGAGGGGCAGAGCAGAGGACAGGTGTTGGGGGCAGGGCAGATGTGGGGAAGGGAGACCCAGTAACACAGCTTGGCTCTGCTGGGACTAGCATGAGTACTCCGTGCTGCCCTGACCCTCGTCAGGGCTTGGAGGCGGGGGGCACTGCACACACAGCTCCCGAGCCCACCAGCACCCCTCCCTGCCAGCGGTGGTCCCCCCATGGCAGAGCCTGCCCCACACACCTGCAGGTAGAGAACGCCATTGACTGAGATGGTAAAGAGCTCACTGCTGCTCTCCAGCCCCATGACGGCCTCCAGGGAGCTGCGGCCAAAGGAGATAGAGGGGGGTGCCTGAGACTCCAGCCCCAGACCCCCCAACCCCACCAGCGACGTGCTCCCCATCACCCAACTCCCGGCCCGGCACCACAGAAGCAGCAGCCTTGGCCAGGCTTCTGGGGGAGGTGGTATCTGAACTGGGTCCCCAGCAGGAGTGAGGACAGGACTGACGTGCACAGGACGGAGGGTGTGCTGCCAGGGCCGCAAGTCCAGGCTCTGATGGGACAGTCTCTGATGAGACTTGGCTCCGGGCGGCCAGACGGCGGCAGGGAGTCTGGGTTCAGGCCAATCGGAGCACAGCTTTCCAAACCAGACCGAGACGTGAACTTCACTCATGGCACGCCTTCTGCCACTACTGTGGCACACCAGCCTGGGCTGTCTGGGTGCTGGGGTACAGAAGGAGCAGCCCAGCCCTTCTGAACAGACATCAACCTGAAGATAGATGCGGCGGGAGAGTGCCAGCGGAGAGGTCCCGCACAGACCGGGCGGGGAAGGCCTCTGAGGATGATGCTGGCATCTCGGTCGCCGGGTGGTATAGTCAGTCCCTTTTGGGTGCAGGCGTGATCGGGGGTGGTGGAGAGAGTGGGGCGTGGGTGCGGGCTGCGGAGGGTCGGTTTGGAGAAGCGGGCAGGCGCCAGGAGGCTGGAGGAACCTTGCCAGCAGGCGGGGGAAGCCCCGAGGGAAGAGGCGGGCGCCCACTCACGCATGGTGCTGGCACCGGGACTCCAGGCAGATGAGCAGACGCAGGCGATCCCGGGGGCGCGGTGGCCCCCGCCTCGGCGGCTCGGCTAGCGCTGCGCAGGAGGCGCGGGGGTGGTGATCACCGGGCGGCGGGGCCCGAGCGCGGCGGGGCGACCCCCACCCCGCCCCCAGCCCCGGGCCGGGCCTCACCCACGTGCAGCGTGGCGGCGAGCGCGTAGAAGCCGGCGACGGGCGCCGTGTACTGGCCGCTGGTCAGGTTCAGGCCTGGGCCGCGGCGGAAGGCGCCGTCGGCGTCGGGCTGCGGGCGCACAGACAGTCACCCCGGGCCCGCCGCGCCGCGCCCGCCCCGCCCCGCCCCGGCCCGGACTCACCACGTAGTAGAGGCCGAGTTCGTGCAGCGCGCGCCGCTCCACCGACGCGTCCCGGCGCAGGCGGCAGTGGAAGGCGGCTTCGACGCGCGGTGCCCGCGAGCCGGGGGCCACGGGCGCGGCCAGCAGCGCCAGCACGCCCGCGCCCCCCGCCGCCGCCTCCTCGTCGTCCTCTGGGCGCGCGGCCGGCACCGCGGCGGGAGCGCGCGGGCCGGGCTCGGACTCCGCGCACTCCCGCGTGCGCACCGCGCCTGGCACAGAGCGGGCAGTGGTCGCCCCGGGACCCCCATCCCACGCCGCGGCCCGCCCTGCCGTGTCCCGCCCGGACCCCTGCCCCAAACCCGGGCGCCGCCGAGAGCGCAGGCACCGTGACCGATGACCCCTGGAACCGCGCGCCGGGCGCCCGCGCTCAGGACCCGCTCTGGCCTGCAGAGTCTTCTGAACCGGCTTCCCGATCCCGCGGCTTCTCCCGTTTCCTTTCATGCTTTGGCTACCGGGAAGCTCAGGGCTGGTGCGCCCAGGACCCCTGTTCTCCTGCCTCCCCTGTTTATCCCACCGCTTCTCACCCCGGGGGCTGCTGCTGCTTTTGCTCTGTTTACATTTTTATTGAATCAGGAAGTGCAGCAGGATAAGCCAGACCCATCATTTGGGGAAAGAAGCTGAGTGTAAAGAAATTATTATTGCAGAGAATGTGGAGGTTCTTCAGCCGCTGAAGCTGGTCTATTTAAATGAAGTGTAGTTGCTAGTCGCTCAGTGGTGTCTGCCTCTTGGCGACCCCATGGACGGTAGCCCGCCAGGCTCCTCTGTCCATGGGATTCTCCAGGCAAGAATACTGGAGTGGGTTGACATGCCCTCCTCCAGGGGATCTTCCTGACCCAGGGATCGAACCCGGGTCTCCAGCATGGCAGACAGATTCTTTACCGTCTGTGCCACCAAGGAAACCCCAGTACATTAAATAGAAGTGGGGAAAGACTCAACAGCTCTTCACGGTGAAATGAACTCTAGTCGGCACCCAGAGCCCTCACCCAGCAGCTGGCCTCAGTGCAGGGACACCGCCCTGGGTGCTCTCGCCCTCTGCGGCCTCAGCCCCAACATGCTCCTCCCCGTGCTCCCGGGGTGGTCCTGGCCCGCCCCTTGGGCTCTGCAGCAGCCCTGTGTCAGGGGAAGAGGCGGGGCACAGGTGAGGGGGAGAAAGAGGCCTGAGATCTCCCTGGTCTCCCTGCAGGGCTCAGTGGAGCACTCTGCAAGCTTAAGGAGCTCTGACTCCTCTCTAACAGTCCCCACTTGGGCAACGCGGGCTTGGATCTCTCAGCTTTTGCAGGCTCAGCGGCCTCCCAGGTGGGGCATGGAGGCTGGTCCCCAGGCGCCTACTGAACACAGAGGCCAAGTCCATCCTCCTCTGTGAGGCGCCCCCTCACCCACTCCTCCCCTACCCCCACCAGCCCCCGACCCACACACAGCCCTGACCCGGGCCAGCACCAGAGCCGTGGCCTCCCAGATACAGGTTGACAAGACCAAGGTCTGGGGTATCTCAGCTCCCTGCCCCCGCTCTCCCCTGTGGGGTGTGTATCTGTGTGGTACCCACCCCCTACCTTTCAGCAGCAGCTGGAACTCCTTCAGTAGGACCTCAGGTGGGGTGATGGGGCCTGGGGGGCCCTGGGGGCCGGGAGGCCCCGGGGGTCCTGGCAGACCAAGCTGAAAGAGAAGGCTGACAGTGAGGACTTCTGAACAGGCGGGGTGGGTGGGGGGAGCCCATGGGCACCCTCTCAGTGATCTCTTGCCACCAACGCTGGTCACGGGGACAGGGAGACCCCTGCTCTGACCCCTGAGGGGGAGGTTGGCCTCCAGTTCCCCTGAGGAGGCAGTGAAGGCTGGTCACGGGGAAAGGGAGACCCCTGCTCTGACCCCTGAGGGGGAGGTTGGCCTCCAGTTCCCCTGAGGAGGCAGTGAAGGCTGGTCACGGGGACAGGGAGACCCCTGCTCTGACCCCTGAGGGGGAGGTTGGCCTCCAGTTCCCCTGAGGAGGCAGTGAAGGCTGGTCACGGGGACAGGGAGACCCCTGCTCTGACCCCTGAGGGGGAGGTTGGCCTCCAGTTCCCCTGAGGAGGCAGTGAAGGCTGGTCACGGGGACAGGGAGACCCCTGCTCTGACCCCAGAGGGGGAGGTTGGCTTCCAGTTCCCCTGAGGAGGCAGTGAAAGCTGCAGGCACAGGGCTGGGGTTGGTGGGGCACTGGGGGCCAGGCTGGGATGCAGGAGGCCGCAGCCCATCCCTGGGGCTGAGGGAGGGAGAGGGGCGCGGGGGGCACTCCAGGCTGCCTTTGAGTCTGTCACTGCCCCAGTCGGCAAGCCACCCCCGGGCGGGGGGGCCCTCAAGGAGCCCTCACTGGACTGGGCTGGGACCCTGCTGGAGGAGCCTGGAGACCCCCCAGCTCAGCTTGGGGGTGACGGGTCAGGCCCTGGTGGCCTCCCAGCCGCCGGGCTGCCCCAGGCTGGGGCAGCCCTGGGGAGCAGGGAGGCCAGGACTCAGCAGGGTGGCACAGCGCTGCCCAGAGCGCCCCACCGCAGGGGATTCGGCCCTCACTGGGGCCCAAGGTAAGGGTCAGCCGTCAGAAGCAGGGACCAGGCCCCGCCCAGGCTGAAGGAGGGTGGGCACCAGTGGCTGCCCAGGCCCCCGGTGGCCTCCAGACTGTGTCACTCCAGCCCACCTGCAGGTCCCTCCTGCCCGGTCCCTGACTGCCCTGCAGCCCCGCCCAGGCCTCCCAGGCCAGGATACAGAAAGGGAAGAGAAAGTGGGGAGCCCGGGAGGCCGCCTGGCATTCCAGGGGTGCAGGTAAATGGCCAGAACAGGCACCCCGAACTCAGGGTCACATGGGCCCCTCACTTGACACTTCTGTGCTCTCTGGCCTGAGGCTGAGGGTCTGTGCTTGTTGGAAATGCTCAGGGTGGGACCAGGGGGGCGGTGAGTGAGGATGTGGGGTGATGGTGGTGGACTGGGGGGTTAGAGAAAAGCCTGTGGGTGGAAGTTCACACACACACACACACACACACACACACACTGGCTGGGCTCCAGTGCTCACCTTCAGCTTCTTGGCCTTGCCCCTGCTCCCCCTCTTGCTGTTGACGCCCTTGTCACTCTGCCTGACAAAGAGCATCCAGGTGTCTCGGGGGTCGATGAGACCGTGCGCTCGCTCCACGGGGGTCTCCTGGAACACAGCCGCCAGCAGGTTGTTTTGCCTCCCAGGCAGGGCTGCCGGCCAAGCAGACTGAACGCTTTGCAAGGGGTCACAGGACTGGCCTCCTCTGGCCCCCTGGGTCCCCGTCTCTGTCAACAGTACTGCCCCCCAAGACAGCATAGCCCCAGCCCCCGGCCCCTTCCTCCTGGCCGCGGAGGACAACTCCCGGGAAGACCCTGGGCGTGGGCAGAGGAAGGTGGGGTGCAGAGCTTCAGGGCAGGTGGAACCTGGCACTGCTGGGCCCCTCCCAGCCTCCCTCCAGGGGAGCTGCTGCTGCGTGCCCCTCCCTGAGGACCAGACCACCGGCCCCCCCAGGGGCTCAGGCAAGGCTGCCCACGCCCAGCAGGCACCCAACCAACCCCGGGGTCTGGAGTTCTCGGGAGGCCAGTTTCCACCCTCAGGGCTGAAGGCCTGCTTTTCGGGGCTGTTTCCGGCACCATGGGTGGGGTGTCCAGCACTGAGATACGGTGATGCAAGGCCCCTGCCTGTCCTTAGGGCTTCTGATAAACGAGCCTCGAGCTGGGACAGTGAGGGGTCCAGAAATGTCCACCCTCCCCCGCCCAGGCTGCATTCTGACCAGTCCTGACATGGTGGAGCTCCAGGAGGTAACTTCCAGGGAGAGGCATCCGGCCCTGTGGGCGGCAGGCCCTGGACAGCCTGGGCTCCGGGCAAGGCTGCCAGCTGGGAAGGAAACTGGCTCAAGAGGGCTTGGATGAGGTCATGGGCACTGACTCGGGCGGCTGGTGGAAGGACCCTGGGATCTTGGAGCTGGGCAGACTCAGGGGTCTCGTGGCCACTGCAGGGGCCCAGGGCCTGCCCTCAGGAGCTGGTGTTGTGTGATGGGGACGGGGCTTCTGTGACAGAGGGGTGTGGGTCGGAGGGAGAGGCCTCAGAGTGCCCGGGGCGTCCCCACACCTCCCTGGGTGCCTGGCCCTGCGAGGCCTCCCCCCATGGCTCCTCTCCATGAGGACCCGTGACCCCAGTTCACCATCCCACGCCACCCTCGGGGGGACACCCGGGAGGAGGACTCTGTCCAGGGTGGATTGTGTGCTGGGCCAGCCCTCCCACTGGCCCAGGAGCCTGTGGAGGGACTCAGACCCCAGTTTGGCAAAAACAGGTGGAGCCACGTCGGTCTGGGGGCCTGGGAGACAGGCTGTGGCAATGTGGGTGGGCATCGGGCCACTGCCCTGGCTGATGGAGGCCTCCAGCCTCCAGCGGCTCTAAGAAGGGAGCCCTGCCTCCAAGGCCAGAACCCCCCTGCCCCCACCCCCGGAAGCACCTGAAGCCCCTCAGTTTCCTGACCGCCACAGGCCAGCCTCTGGAAACCCTGCCCCCTGGCGCTCCCGGGGGCTGAGGTGGGCTGTCAGGGTAGGCTTTGCCTTCAGTCCATGGGAAATGGCAGGGGGCGATGGGAACAAGGGCTCTGGGGAGGCCCCTCCCGGGGGGTGATCAGGGCTGGCTGCCACTGTCACCTGTCTTCAGTGGGGGCATCCCCGACTGGGGGTGTCGTGGTTCCCAAAGTGATGCTGAGAGCAGAGGTGCGGCCTGAGCCTCCGGGCACCACCCACAGCATCTTCGGAGAATAGAAACTCCAAGCACCCTCCCCCGAGCCCTCCCCTCCCTGTCTGGAGGCCCCGCCCACACTGAGGGCAGCCCTGAAGGCCCGAACCCCCTGGTCTCCCCGAACCCGACCGCCTGGCTTCTGCAGCCAGAAAGGAAGGAGCAGGGCAGAGCTAAGCGCTGGCGAGAAATCACACATTGGAGCCCGGCACACCGTCCAGACACACTTTCTCCCTCCCTCCCCAGTTGACAGGAAGACAGCTGTTTATTTTCAGAGAAGGCACCAAGGAGACAGGGGGCAGGCGTGGGGTGGGGAGGGGTGGGGGGTCAGGGACTTGCTCACACTTTTACAGATACCCTTTTCCCAGCTTCAGGAGGATGGAGTTATTTACACTTCACCAGCTTCCCAACCTGAAAGTCCCCAGAGAACAGGCATTTCCCCCCAGTCCAGTAGAACTTTGCTTTTTATAACAACCCCAAAAGCCAAGGTCAGGGCTGGCCCTTAAGGCGCCGGGCTGGGCAGGGGACCAGCGCCCAGACCTCCGGTGCCAAGCCCGCAAGCTAAGCGTTTTCCCCTCCCCTGTAGAGAGAAGAGGACAACCAGGCTGGCCCCGGTCCCCGCGGGCTCGCGACGCCGCGCTCCCCGCCGCCGCGGAAGCAAGAGCATGGCGCCCTCGGGGCGCCGGGGGAGCCAGGGGCGCGCGCTGCGGGCGGGGAGGCTGAGGCCCGAGGTCTCCAGGGCCCGGGCGGGCCGGGCGGCGTCTTACCGGCGGGCGGGCGGCCGGCCCCGCGGGCAGTTCGTTCCCGGGCGGCGGCTCGTCGCGGGCGCGGCTCCCCGAGGGCGCGCCGGGCTCCGGGGAGCCCAGGCCCACGGCGGCGGCCAGCAGGCTGGCGTAGGCGAACAGCAAGGCCCGCGCGGGGCAGCGGGCGGGGGCCATGCGGGCGGCGGATGCCTCTGGCCTGAGATCTCAGCTTCTGGACTCGGCCCCGAGCTCCGCGCCTTATAACGCGCTTGAATCCCCCGCCTAGCCCGCGGCGCGCCTCCCCGCCCAGCGCCGCCTCCCGGCTCCTGCGCGCGCTGCCGCCGTCGGGGGGGCGGTGCGGGGAGGCGGGCCGCCCCACGGAGGGGAGGTGAGGGGAGGGGCGTGGGCGCCCGGGGGGTGCGGGCGGGGCGCGAGTCGGGGTCGCGGGGCGCGGGGTCAGCAAGGGGCTGCGAGGAGGGCCGCGCGGGGGAGGCAGGGGCTCGGGGAGCCGCGGCTGGCGGTGGCCGGAGCGCCCCCTCCTGTCGGGCCCGTTTCCTCTCCGCTGCGGTCCCCGCTGCGCGCTGTCCAGCCTCTGCTTCGCGGGCACCCGGACACCCTTCTCCCGGCCACGGGATATCCCGTCTCTCCTCTCTGTCCCGCGCGTCCTGCGGGGACCCCGAGACGCCTCTCCCTGAGCGCGCGCTGGGCTGGGTCTTACTAGATGGATCACATCTGAGCCCGAAGACTGTCAGAGCCCCTCTTTGGCGCCCCTTTCCCAGGCGGCGACCCCTTCCTGCTTCCCACGGCCTGGGCACCCCGTGAGCTGAGACGCGCTGTTCCTCCCCGCCAGGCGCACCTGCGGGGGCCTCGAGGGCGCGGGGCTGGGGGCGCGGAAGAGATCTACTGCCTAGGAGCAGGCGCCCTGAGGCCTAGACTGAGAGGACTGAGAGGAGCCCTGCCTCGAACTCGCGGGGGGTCGGGGGCAGATCCGACCGGGGACTGGGGACCAGATACCCGCAGACCCCCGAGATCAGGGCAGCCCACTGGGGGACCCGACTGGCCGGCCTGAGCTCCACTCTCCTCCCTGAAGACAGGCAGCCCCTTGCAGCTCCCTGGGCTGTTTGTTCTGTGACCCGCCTCCCTCCCTCCCCAACTCCCCCACCCACCCCCACCCCGCTTCCCCAACCTCTCGCTCCCCCCACCTCACCGCCCCCACCCCTCACTCCCCCCACCTCTCACCCCTGCCACCTCTCACCTCCACCACCTCTCACTCCCCCCACCCCTCACTCCCCCCATCTCTCACCCCTGCCACCTCTCACTCCCCCCCCGCCTCCTACTCCCCCCACCTCTCACTCCCCCCGACCTCACTCCCCCCACCTCTCACTCCCCCCACCTCTCACTCCCCCACCTCTCACTCCCCCCACCTCTCACCCCTGCCACCTCTCACTCCCCCACCTCTCACTCCCCCCACCTCACTCCCCCCACCTCTCACCCCCCCACCTCTCACCCCCCCACCTCTCACTCCCCCCACCTCACTCCCCCCACCTCTCACCCCCCCACCTCTCACCCCCCCACCTCTCACTCCCCCACCTCTCACCCCCCACCTCTCACTCCCCCCACCTCTCACTCCCCCACCTCTCACTCCCCCCGCCTCTCACTCCCCCCACCTCTCACCCCCCCACCTCTCACCCCCCCACCTCTCACTCCCCCCACCTCTCACCCCCCCACCTCTCACCCGCCACCTCTCAATCCCCCCACCTCTCACCCCCCCACCTCTCACCCCCCCACCTCTCACGCCCCCCCGCCTCCTACTCCCCCCGCCTCTCACTCCCCCCACCTCTCACCCCCCCACCTCTCACCCCCCCACCTCTCACTCCCCCCACCTCTCACTCCCCCACCTCTCACCCCCCACCTCTCACTCCCCCCACCTCTCACCCCTGCCACCTCACTCCCCCCACCTCTCACTCCCCCCACCTCTCACTCCCCCACCTCTCACTCCCCCCACCTCTCACCCCTGCCACCTCTCACTCCCCCACCTCTCACTCCCCCCACCTCACTCCCCCCACCTCTCACCCCCCCACCTCTCACCCCCCCACCTCTCACTCCCCCACCTCTCACCCCCCACCTCTCACTCCCCCCACCTCTCGCCCCTGCCACCTCACTCCCCCCACCTCTCACTCCCCCACCTCTCACCCCCCCACCTCTCACCCCCCCACCTCTCACTCCCCCACCTCTCACCCCCCACCTCTCACTCCCCCCACCTCACTCCCCCCACCTCTCACCCCCCCACCTCTCACCCCCCCACCTCTCACTCCCCCACCTCTCACCCCCCACCTCTCACTCCCCCCACCTCTCACTCCCCCACCTCTCACTCCCCCCGCCTCTCACTCCCCCCACCTCTCACCCCCCCACCTCTCACCCCCCCACCTCTCACTCCCCCCACCTCTCACCCCCCCACCTCTCACCCGCCACCTCTCAATCCCCCCACCTCTCACCCCCCCACCTCTCACCCCCCCACCTCTCACGCCCCCCCGCCTCCTACTCCCCCCGCCTCTCACTCCCCCCACCTCTCACCCCCCCACCTCTCACCCCCCCACCTCTCACTCCCCCCACCTCTCACTCCCCCACCTCTCACCCCCCACCTCTCACTCCCCCCACCTCTCACCCCTGCCACCTCACTCCCCCCACCTCTCACTCCCCCACCTCTCACCCCCCACCTCTCACTCCCCCCACCTCACTCCCCCCACCTCTCACTCCCCCACCTCTCACTCCCCCCGCCTCTCACTCCCCACACCTCTCACCCCCCACCTCTCAACCCCCACCTCTCACCCCCCCACCTCTCACTCCCCCCACCTCTCACCCCCCCACCTCTCACCCCCCACCTCTCACTCCCCCCACCTCTCACCCCCCCACCTCTCACTCCCCCCACCTCTCACTCACCCCCCGCCTCCTACTCCCCCCGCCTCTCACTCCCCCCACCTCTCACTCCCCCACCTCTCACTCCCCCACCTCTCACCCCCCCACCTCTCACCCCCCCACCTCTCACTCCCCCACCTCTCACCCCCCCACCTCTCACTCCCCCACCTCTCACTCCCCCACCTCTCACTCCCCCCACCTCTCACTCCCCCACCTCTCACTCCCCCCACCTCTCACCCCCCCACCTCTCACCCCCCACCTCTCACTCCCCCACCTCTCACCCCCCCACCTCTCACCCCCCCACCTCTCACTCCCCCCCGCCTCCTACTCCCCCTGCCTCTCACTCCCCCCACCTCTCACCCCCCCACCTCTCACCCCCCCACCTCTCACTCCCCCCACCTCTCACCCCCCACCTCTCACTCCCCCCACCTCTCACCCCTGCCACCTCACTCCCCCCACCTCTCACTCCCCCCACCTCTCACTCACCCCCCGCCTCCTACTCCCCCCACCTCTCACTCCCCCACCTCTCACCCCCCACCTCTCACTCCCCCCACCTCTCACTCCCCCACCTCTCACCCCCCACCTCTCACCCCCCCACCTCTCACTCCCCCACCTCTCACTCCCCCTGCCTCTCACTCCCCACACCTCTCACCCCCCACCTCTCACCCCCCCACCTCTCACTCCCCCCACCTCTCACCCCCCCACCTCTCACCCCCCACCTCTCACTCCCCCCACCTCTCACCCCCCCACCTCTCACTCCCCCCACCTCTCACCCCCCCACCTGTCACTCTCCCCACCTCTCACCCCCCCACCTCTCACCCCCCACCTCACTCCCCCCACCTCTCACCCCCCCACCTCTCACCCCCCACCTCTCACTCCCCCCACCTCTCACCCCCCCACCTCTCACTCCCCCCACCTCTCACCCCCCCACCTCTCACCCCCCACCTCTCACTCCCCCCACCTCTCACCCCCCCACCTCTCACTCCCCCCACCTCTCACCCCCCACCTCTCACTCCCCCCACCCCTCAGTCCCCCACCTCTCACCTCAGCCACCTCTCACCTCTGCCACCTCTCACTCCCCTCCCCAGGCTGGCACTGCAGGCTCAGGCTCTCCTATGCCTCCCTGAGGTGCCTGCACCTGGAGGGTAAACTGCATCTTATTTAGGGGGCTCAAGGGAAGGGCACTTCTGAGGGCACCTTACCAGGCCCTGCTGCCCTCACCAGGGATGACGTCTACCTCTTCTGAGATGAGGGGAGACCCCCCACCCCGTGCTGTTTCAGAGAGTGGCAGACGGGGCCTGGGGGAGGAGCCGTGGGTCATCCTCGCTGCCCCACTGCACCACCTACGGTCTCCACCACCCTCGGACTGTTCCCAGGGGACAGGAAACACTACACTTTAGGAAAAGCCTGAAATTTGATGTTAATTATTCCTTTTGATTCTGCCTCTTTTCCTATAGGATGGTGGGGGTGATGGTAGTTTTAGATTTCTTAAAGAAAAAAATGCTCTTCCCACCCTGAGAATGTGTTCCTCCCACCCAGGAGTCTATGTGTCCCATAGACTCATTCTGAGACTTACAGGCAAATTAGAACTGCACAGGTATTCTGTCTTTATACATGTTTGGGGGGGAAAAGGTATCAATGGAATAAAAAAATAGAGATTCCTATAGAAATTGCAGCTTTTCTGTGGTACATATACACAATGGAGTATTACTCAGCTATTTAAAAGAATGCATTTGAACAGTTCTAATGAGGTGGCTGAAACTGGAGCCTATTATACAGAGTGAAGTAAGTCAGAAAGAAAAACACCAATACAGTATACTAATGTATATATATGGAATTTAGAAAGATGGTAATGATGACCCTATATGCAAGACAGCAAAAGAGACACAGATGTAAGGGACAGACTTCTGGACTCTGTGAGAGAAGGCAACGGTGGGATGATTTGAGAGAATAGCATTGAAACATGTATATTATCATATGTGAAATAGATCGCCAGTCCAGGTTCAATGCATGAGACAGGGCGCTCAGGGCCAGTGCACTGGGATGGCCCTGAGGGATGGGATGGGGAGGGGCGTGGGAGGGGGGTTCAGGATGGGGAACCCATGGCTGATTCATGTCGATGTATGGGCAAAAACCACTGCAATATTGTAAAGTAATTAGCCTCCAATTAAAAGAAATAATTTATTAAGAAAAAGAAATTGCAGCTTTGCAAGAGGACATGTGAGAAATACTGATTTATATTATATGCATTCAACAAAATATATGAACTTATTCCGTTGACAACCGTTCAGTAGCTTTGTTGCAAACAAAGGCATTTGCTCTAATGTTTGTAGATGGTGTTGCTGGAGGGCCCTCAGAGAATTCAGGCTTTCTTGTGTGGCTTCATGTTTCTGGCCCCACAGGCACATCTATCAGAAGGCCAGCCACTGGAACGTTGTAATGACATGTGCGTGTGTGCTGGGTGTGTGCTTCAGCATTCAGGATTAACATTTTTGTTCTGTTTCATTTGGGGGGGAAGACTTTGAGACCGTGAGATGCCGAGTGTGGGGTGTTTTCGTTGCTGAAACCCACAGTCCGCTGACAGAGAGGGGCGGCTGTCCTCAGCTTGTGCAGCTGAGTGGTACCTTCATGATTCTGAACAAGCTTTTCCTTACTCAGCGTCGCATTCACTTCCCATGGCCCAGCTGGTCAGCCCGTGCGGCCGGGGCTCACCAGGCACGCACAGCCTGGGCTTGGGGCCGCGCTGGGCCCCCGTGCCCCTGGGCATGGTCACATCTTCACAGGCACAGGTTTTGCATCCAGCTCCTTCCTGTTTCTGATGATGAGCTGGAAGGGTACTGAAACTACAGCTTTGTCTTTTCCCTGAGATGGGCCCCCCTTAGGAGTTCCTGCAGGGGTCTGGCTGTGAGTGAAGCCCCAGGGAAATGCGTGCAGCTGCTTCTCTTGAACCAGGGGCTCATCACAGAGCTCTCCCTTCCCTGGATGATGGCAGGGGTGGTGGGGGGAGCAAGGCCAGAGAGCAGCCGCCCAGTGTGGTGAGAAAGGGGCTCCTCCTGGGCCCTGCCCCTTGCCTGAAGGTGGCCAGCCTGTCCAGGAGCTTCTGGGAGCCTCAGCCTCCTTGCCCGAGAGTTGGGGTGAATGCACGTGTGTCCTCAGGGCCTGCTGTGGGTGAGGTGCAGCCCCAGAGGGTACTGCGTGGAGCGGTGAGGCCGGCCAGCCTGCCTTCCCTGTCACCATATCATGTTGTCAGGGGGAGGGGGCCCTCAGAGCTGCCTGAAGACAGAGGCCCCGGGCCGTGGAGGCCTTGACTGAGCACAGTCAGAGCCCCGGCCAGACCCAGCTGCCAGTCTGCTCGGCAAAGCTGGTCCTCACAGCCCCCTCTGGCTTTGGAGGAGGCCCATCTCAGGGCCTTTAGACATGCATCCCTCAGAGCCTCAGTTTGCTGCTCTGTACAATGGGCACAAGGACAGCTGTGAGCCCCAAGCCCTCATCTGGGATCCCACTCATTAGGGGTAAAGTGGATGGTAACGGTCACCCCCAGAGGGGGGCCTGCTGCCTGGGGACTCCGCTTCTGGGTTGCTGGCCTGTGTTCTGTTCAGCTGAGGCCGGCTGCTCCCGGGACCACATCTGCTGTTAGTCCCATCCTACGCCCTGGGAAGGTGAGCCTCAGGCTCTGTCACCTTTGGTGACACCTGGGACATGGGGGGGACGGAGGGACCAGGTTTGGGTCACGTGATTGTTCGGATATTCTTGTGATATGGTTTCCAGCTCACGGTCGGGAGCCTTGGCCCGCGTGCGGCCAGCAGTGAGGACCGGAGCTGTTGCCATGTGAAAAACAGTTATTTTCCCAAGCAGTGAGCAATCCTCATGATGTCACAGGCCCGCCAGAGGACCCAAATCGAATCTGTTCCGCTGCTGAGTGGCCTCTGTACACTCTCTGGAGGTGATGACACGGCCCAGCCCCAGGGCGGGAGCGTGCAGAGAGCTGGGGCCTCCAGGTGGGGCTCCCTGCGTGCTTCTGGGGGGATCACAGCTCCACAAGAGCCCCCACAGAGGGGAGGAGAGCTCAGCAAAGCGTCGCACAGGCCAAGGACCCCCCGCCACGGGGCTCTGGGGGCCCCGCGTGCCTCTCCCCGGCAGCAGCATCCTGTGGGTGCAGAAAGGGGGGCAGTGTCTGCGGGCAAGGTAATGGGTTCCAGGGCCGAGGCGCTGGAGTGGCCGCGGGCAGGGGCCAGGCAGCATCCGGGGGTGGCCCCCCGGCCCTGCGCCTTCAGGCCTGGCAGAAATCCAAGCCTCATTCCTGGGCCCTCAGGTCACGGCCTTGGCCCTGGCTTCCCAGTGGCCTGATGCAGCCAAGCCATTGCCACTCGCGTCTCTTCCTGCAGAGGAAGGACCTCTGACGATGAAGTCATGGGAAGCCCAGCTCCCTCTGCCCCCAGAACCGCGGGAGCCTCAGCAGCCTGTGGAGTGGCCTCTGGAGGGGGCGGGAGGGGGCAGGCAGGCAGGCAGGCTGCCTTTGCCGTCTGTCCGACATCACCCCACCCTCAAATCATGTGGTTACCCCCACTGTGCAGATGTGGAAACTGAGGCTAAGCCTTGGGTTGGCCCGAGGTCATGGAGCCCCCAGGTGCCCTCTCCCTCCCCAGCTCCCTTTCTGGGTTCTGCCTCTGCTCTGCTTGGCCCTGGAAGCCAAGAGGGGTGGCAACAGCCCCCCAACCGTTGGTGGTCCCGGGAGCCCCCGGAGACCCTGCTGAGTCACCTCAGCCTGCCTCCGCCTCAGAAGCAGCCCCCTGTCAAGTTCTCCCATCACTCAACTTGAGGGGCCAGATCCAGGCGCCCTGAATAGAGGCAGCTCGGGCCCCCCAAAGTGGAGGGCGGGAGGAGCAGAAATCAGGCCTTCCCCTAGGATATTTTCAACAATGCGTGTTTGATCAGAAAAAAAAAGTCCAGTGTGACATGCTGAGTCTTTGAAATAGCACCTTCGATCAGCGTCTAAAAAATATTCCAGGTGATTTTCTTACAGAAAGCGGCGAGGATCCCAGAGACCTCCACCCTCGGTTTCACCCACCCCGTCCACCATCTGACTGACCAGGCGTCCTGAGGGCTGTGGTTCATGTTCCTTTGGGAGCAGACCCTCAGCACGCCCCACTCTGTCTGGGTCCTGGGACCCACTCAGGTCTCTCAGAAGAGATGGGCAGGAAGAGTCAGTCTGGGAGCAAAGTGGCCCTGGGTCTATGGGGGCCAGAGGGACCCAGGATCCGATCCTCAGAACGAGCAATGTCAGGGGGCCCTGCGGTCCCCGAGGGATTCTCGGAGGAGCCCACAGGCTGGCCCCCGAGAGGAAAGCCAGGTCCAGAGGGTGACGGGACCTGCTTGAGGGCTCGCTCAGTGGGTCGGCGCCAGGGATGGAGCCAGGCTGGGCGCCCCCACGCAGCCTGTGTCGAGGCGGGAGGGCCTGGTGAGGGGCCTCTGTCGTCCCCGTGGCCACAGACGCGGTGCCTCGTTCAGGACAGGTGAGGAGGGGCAGGGGCCCGAACCTGCCCTGCGAGGGGCCCCGGTGCGTCTTGGGGGACTCTGGGCAGTCCACGTGCTGGGCCTCCTTGCCCAGCAGGCCACCCGAGGGCAAGTCACTGGAGCACCCAGGAGCTATCCCCAGAAGTCCCTGCCGGACACCAGCCCTGGGGACCTTCCTTCTGACGAAGCGCCTTTGTTTAGGTGCTGGTGGTAAAGAACCTGCCTGCCAACACAGAAGACATAAGAGACGAGGACTCAATCCCTGGGTCGGGGAAGATCCCCTGGAGGAGGAGATGGCAACCCACTCCAGTATTCTTGCCTGGAGGAGCCCATGGACAGAGGAGCCTGGTGGGCTACGGTCCATAGCGGCGCGAAGAGTCGGACACAACTTAAGCAACTTAGCGCATACCCCAAGGAAAGGGGGAGCCCTGGCCCTTCCTGCTCCCCTCTCTGGGCAGCCTTGCCGCCCCTCTGCCCCCAGCCCGCCCCCCACCCCAGGCAAGCGGAAAGACTCTTTATCCCAGCCCCTACCCCTCACCTCCTTCTTTGTTTCTGTGGGTGCTGCCCTTCAGAGGGGTGACCCAGAAGGAGCTGGACCTCCTATTTCCCCAGAAGCAGCCTTTGGAAACCTGTGCCAGTGTAAGCCTGGGGGCTGGGAGACCCCTCCCAAGCCAGCCCCGTGTGCCTGACAGCAGAGAGGGTGGGCGGCCAGCTGGGCCGCACAGCTGTGAGGTAGAAGCAGGCCCACCACGGCAGGCGCTGACCCCGCCTTGGGGTGCTTCGCTCGGTACCACCCACCCTCTGCAGCCCCGGCTTCCCGGGCCCCCGCGGTCACCCTCATCTGTGTGGCTCCCTCTGACCGCCACCCATGGGACACACAGCCCAGAGCGGCTGGTCCTCAGACAGATTACGAGTTCTCATGCTGCTCCCCAGGGCCCGGCTCCCTGCTCTGAGGTCTCAGACGCCCCACGGCAGGTGCGCAGCTTCTCCCATCCTTCCAGGCGTCCAGAGGCCCAGCCCTTGCCGCTGGTCAGCTCTGAGTTTGGAGTGGTCTTGCCGCAGAGACGAAGACTCTGTCCCCTGTCGTCCCCGGTGGCCGGAGCCCAGCCTGGACCCAGAGGGGCCGGTGATGCTGAGCCGTCAGACAAACCAGAGTGAAAGGGGGCCCGTCCCCCGGGGTGGGGGCTCCGCCGGCCTGCTCCAGGGGTGCTGCATGGCGGCTCAGGGCTCCGGGGTGGGCCCGAAGGGCTGGGTCCACTTGGAGACATCCAGGAAGATGGCGGACGCCCCGTGGTAGAGCCAGAGGCGGGGCATGGCGCCGAGGCGGACCCAGGCGTCCCGGCCGCGGTCGTAGGCCTCCATCTCCACGCGGTAGTCCCCAGCCATGCCCTGCCAGCGGCCGCCCGTGGCATAGAGTGCGTCCCCCAGCGGCACCAGCGCCCCGTTCTCGTGCAGGCTGTGCAGGGGCTGCACCTGCGGACGGTCTGCCCTCAGCGCCCCGCGGCCTCGGGGTGAGGGGCACTCCGCCCCACCCCCCATCCAGGGTGCCCCCCACCTGCCTCCTGGGACCTCAGCCCCGCCCCCAGCTGCCCCCGGGGCGCCCCTGAGACTTTCCTTTGCGGGGGAGACCCTGCTGCTCCAGGGATAACGTTCCCAGCCATCCCATGCTCTCCGAGTTTGCCCATATCTGAGCCTGGGGGGTCAAGGGGGACCCGGGCCTCGCTCCCAGGGTGCAGGCTGGGCCTCTGACTCTGTCTCTCTCTCGAGGACATGGTGTGGCTTCCACCCTGACAGATGCCCTGGGGGACTCATCGCTCTGCCCTCGCCTTGGCCTGGGGCCTCGGGGTTAGCCTGGCCAGGGGCTGTGGGCTGAGGGCTCATGGCTTTCCCCAGGCCAGGGAGAGAGGTGTGTGCCCTTCCCGAAGAGCCGGGGAGGGCAAGATGGGGGAGGCCACCCAGGTGGAGCAGGGAACGGGCGGTAGACCTCCAGGCCTGTGGAGGACAGACCCCGGTCCAGAGCCGGGTGGCAGGCCGGGCCAGCCCCGGGTGACGGGCCCCAGGGACAGAGCCTGGCAGGGTCGGCCTGCACCTGTCGTGCTGCTGACATGGGGGCCTCCGGTCAGCTGAGCGCTGACGCCAGGGGACAGCTGTGGTCAGCGGATCACAGAGGCCCCGCTGTTGCACGGCTGGCCTGGCTAGCAGAGGCCACCGCGGGCTCTGGGCACTGTCCCTCCTCCTTCTCGGGAAGAAATGCGGAGGAAGGCCAAGGCTCTGGTGCCTCCACGAGCCCCCGCCCCCTTCCCTGGGGTGATGGAGGAAGGGGAAGTAGCAGGAATGGGGGTGGGGTGGGGGGCCAAAGGCTGGCTCCTTGCCCCTGAAACAGCTCAAGAAGCCCCCTCCCTGGCTTGATCACCCCCAGGGGTGGGGGAGTCTCTCCCTCGCAGGCCTGGCCGGCACCAGCAAGGAGGAGCTCTCTCTGAGTCCACCAGCCCCTGAGCGCCCCTGGCCGAGCATGGTTTTGCCCCCTGAGGAGGACAGTTTTCTCCATGTGTTGGGGACAGAGCATCCGCAGTGACCAGCGGCCCCAGGACTTCGGGAGGGGGCCCCTCTGGGTCCTTGCGTCCCCAGGCCTCATTCCCTGCCCCCTGCCCCAGCGGGGACCACAGCCCAGGCCTGCTCTCTCCAGGGGTGGGAGGGGCTCACCTTCTGCCACAGGTTGGCCCCGGGGTCGTACACGTAGACTTTCTTGGTGTTGTCCCCCACCAGGTAGAGCGCCCCGTGCAGCGCGGCACAGCGTGGAGAGGACAGGTACTTGGGGAGGAAGGGCGAGGCGATCACGCTCCAGGCATCTGCGGACACACGCCCGCCCACATCACTGGGGAGGCCCTCCCTGAGCCTCCCGGCCGTGCAGCTGGGTCGCCCCGCTCTGGGGGGCAGGGTCCCCGGGAGCCTCATCCTTGGGTCTTCAGGAGGGGCTGCGAGGTGTCCAGAGGCCGTGGCCTGAGTGGGCGCCCCAGGCCTCTGCCTCCATCCTGCTGGCCCCTTGGTCTAGTACCCGGGGCCCCCACCTGACCCTGGGCCTGGTCCGCCTCCTGTGGGATCCTCAGCCTCACCATCCAGAGGATGGACCAGAGGGGCTACCCTGAGGGAGAGAGAGAGAGCTGGCTCCTTCCCCCTGAAACAGCTCAAGAATGCCCCCTCCCTGGCTTGATCACCCCCAGGGGCGGGGGACTCACTCCCTCTTGGACCTGGCCCATGCCAGGAAGGAGATGCCTTGTGCAAGCCCTGTATCCTTAGGCTGGGGCCCAAACCCCGACCCGGCCCTAGAGCCCAAGCTGGTGCCCGCTGGGCTTCAGGGGTTCAGGCCCGCTGCCCCTCCCCACGTGGCCGGTTCCAGGCAGATCCAGCAGCCAGACAGGTTTAGGACCCGGGGCGGGGCTTCCTGGTCCCCTGTCCCCACACCTCTAGACTGTGGGGGGCTGTGGCTCCGTGCTGGTGATCCCTGTGGGCCCGTGCCTTCCTCCACTGCCCCATCCATCGCTGGGGAGGCCGTGGCCCTTTGTAAGAGGCCTGCGACTGCCCGCTCCCTGACACCCCCTGGCTACACCTATCCCCGGGCCCCCACCCCTCCAGTCGCTGAGACGGGTCACGGGCGTGCCTGACCCCTGGGTCGCGCCTGCGCCCCGCCCCCTGGGTCCCGCCTGCGCCCCGCCCCCTGCGTCGCGCCTGCGCCCCGCCCCCTGGGTCCCACCTGTGCCCCGCCCCCTGGGTCGCGCCTGCGCCCCGCCCCCTGGGTCCCACCTGTGCCCCGCCCCCTGCGTCGCGCCTGCGCCCCGCCCTCTGGGTCCAGCCTGTGCCCCGCCCCCTGGGTCCCGCCTGCGCCCCGCCCCCCCGCCCCCGGGCCCCGGACGCCCCTCCCGCCGGCCCCCACCTGTGACCGGGTTGTAGCACTGCAGAGCCAGGGCGTTGTACTTGCAGGCGCTGGAGCCCACCAGGTAGAGTCGGCCCCCGCAGCCGGCCGCCGAGAAGTTGCTGACGTACTTGAGGGCCGGGCGGATGGGCGTCCAGGTGTCCGTGAAGGGGTCATAGCTCTCCACCTCTACCACGTCCAGAGTGGTGCCTGCCAGGCCAACGGGTGGGGTCAGGGCTGCCGGGGGCTAGGACGAGGGAAGGGTCCTGGAAATGCAGGGTGTGAGGCTCTGCGGAGGCTGCAGGGCCGCCCTGGGTGCCCAGGCGGGCAAGGGCAGGGGGAGGTGGGCACAGCCTGGAGAGGCGGGAGTGTGTGTGCGTGGTCTGTGGCTTTAGTCCTGCCTGACTCTTTGTGACTCCATGGACTGCAGCCCGCCAGGCTGCCCTGTTCATGGGGTTTTCCAGGCAAGAATACTCAAGCGAGTTGCCATGCCCTCCTCCAGGGGATCTTTCCAACACAGGGATCGAACCTGCATCGCCTGCCTTGCAGGTGGATTCTTTGTCCACTGAGTCACCTGAGAAGCCCTGAGAGGCAGGCGACGTGCCCCATTTTAGAGAGAGGGGAGCAGAGCTCCGAGAGGGGAGGGTGTCTGCCCAAGGCCACTCGCCTAGAAGTGGCATGGGAGTGGGCTCCTGGACCAGGGATGCCCAACTCCGGAGCAGGTGATGGGGCCTCCCTGTGAGGCCCAGTCACTCTGAGCCCTTCAGAGCCCGGGGTGCCTGGAGAGGGGCCCATGGGGGTCCCGGAAGGCCGCCACCCCCAGGCCCTTCACATGGTGGAGGCCCTTCCTGGGATGGAGAAAGTCATTCTTGGGGGGACTTTTAGGCAGCCCCTCACCCAGCCCTTCCCAGATGGAGCTAGTGGAAAAGAACCCGCCTGCCAATGCAGGAGATGTAAGAGACGTGGGCTCGATCCCTGGGTCGGGAAGATCCCCTGGAGGAGGGCATGGCAAACCACTCCAGCTTTCTTGCCTGGAGGATCCCATGGACAGAGGAGCCTGGCGGGCTACAGTCCATGGGGTCACAGAGAGTCAGACATGACTGAGCGACTTAGCACACACGCACGTTCCCAGCCCTGGACAGCCTGGGTGTGACGGTGACGCAGAGCAGCGGTGGGTGGGCGCCCACCTGGAGCCCACCTCGGTCTCTGAGAGCCTTGGGCCCCAAGCTGCCTTGTACCCCTGTGCGATCCCTCTGTCCTCGGGTGGGGAACACGGCAGCCACTGAAGGAAAGGGGGTACCCGGGACAGGTGGGGCTCCGGGGATGTCCTTAGGGCCAGCTGTCACCTCCGGAGGCCGTGGGACACTCTTGCTCAGCCACCCAGTGCATCTCTCACTGTTCATCTGACCATCAGCATCCCCGGAACAACTCCTGGCTGCACCTCTGGGGTGCGG